ATCTATCTATCTATCTATCTATCTATCTATCTATCTATCTATCTATCTATCTATCTATCTATCTATCACAAAGCTACACAGTATTAGCACATTTTTTTTTAATATAACTAGCATAAAACCTGAATCATTCTTCATAAACAGCAAAGCTCACAATAGGAGAAGGACACACTTAGCTAATCAGATCTATATACATTTACGCAGTACTGTAAGTCATGCTTCTCCTTCATTGTCCAGTCAAAGGCTGGAGGCAAGTTGGTGAGCAAGCTGGAGAAAAGCCAGGCCACCAAACTGCCTGTGATGTCCAGCAAGTGTGTCTGAATCAAGACAGGCTGCATGGAGGTAAAAAGCCTTTGACAGGTAAATTGGTTAATGTATATGTATTTTAGTCCTTTATTTAGCTCTATGCCTGGAGTTCACCTTTAAAAAGTAGAGAGAATACATAGATTAACTGTATTTTTTCTCTTTAAACTGTCCATACACCAGCAGGTCTGGTTTCTTGACTGCTGAATGGTCAGACCTTTACCAGGTCTCTAGAAATGAGACATAAGTAAGCAGAATTTAATATTTATAGATACTGTATGCTATTCAAAACCAAATGATTAGTTCTAAATAAAGTTTTAACTGTTCCTATATTACAGAAATGGGTATACTGCTGGGAAGCATGAATAAAATATGGGGTAGGCTTTACAGAAAATTCACTGACAATTACAGCCATATCTGCTATAGCCAACAGACTGCACTGTCCTCACACAAAGGCCATGGTACTGAAATACAGTCTGAAAGTATTTTTGGAATCTGAAGCCAAGAAGTAGACAACCATTTTCATCAATACTGAGCAAACAAGAAAAAAGAGTAAAGGTGACTAGGAAAGATTAACACGTGAGTCATCAAGTTGTGGAAGTTGTAAATGGACAGTAAAATAAAATTAAACACTACAGTCAGCAGAATTACATGGATCCGATTTATCTGTGACTGGCACATTACTATGGGCAACACAAACACTTTAATTAATATAATATAGCATGTATAGCTTGTATCTTTTTAGATAAATATATACAAGAGATCGGCTTGATATAAATAATCTTAGAAATGTGTTTTAATGTCTTAAAAAATGATCTTTTATTTATAGTTCATATTCATATTTGTACATACCAATGGCCATATTGGATCATTACAGACTCTGCTTCCAGCTTTGCAGTGCTACAAAATGGTTGTGCTTTTCTGCTCTTTCTCACAATGCAAGCCTATGAGATGACCAACTCACTAAAAACAATGCACTCCGTGTGTGGCAGACCTTTTATCAGCAGCAGTTAAGAGTGATTGAAATAGGTTTAATGAAGAACGGTCCATTAACATTTCTTCAAAGTAACAATTATATTAAGAACTCTAAATATGTGCTCATTAAGATACTCTATACTATCATTTAAAGCAGATCCACTGAAATGATTGGCTAATGCACAAAAACACAACTGGGGGTTATTCACAAAGGAGCCGAAGGATCCACCCGTAGCTTTGGCTGATCCTTCGGCTCTCTTCGGCTGCCGGAGCCCTTCGGTTCAGTCTTTGGATGTTGGATCGGCTGAGTCGAAGTCCTTCTGCACTTCGGTTGAACAGAACATGCAGAGCATGTTCGGCTGAGCCGAAGGCAGCCGATTCCATCCGACGTATGGCTGAAATCAAACGTAGTTCGGCTCACTTTACTTCGGCTGGGTTATAAACTCGGCTGCCTTCGGGAGCTTTGTGAATAGCCCCCACCTATCTTTTTTTATTTCACATTAAAAAAATCTTTTGCATAAAAGATGAGCAAATAAATGTTTGAAATAAACATAAACATGTTTTAAGAGTGCAGATATGATAGCCTATAAGTATATGCATACAAGAAAAAAAAAAATCATATAAGTACATTACTGCATGGGCAAAGAAGTGCAAGGACCCTTACTGAACCACTACGGCTGGCTGGCTAAAGCTGAACTTTTTTGCAAATTTCCTTGCTATAATAAATATGAAATAACATGTTATCGCAGCAGGGCAAAGCAACAGATCCGCTCGTTCACCAGCAACATAGACTCACTTGCATTTGCCCTCCTGCCACGCTGTTCAGCCACTAGGACTGAAAAACAGAAGCTCTCTGTAAGCTCCACCATTTGACCAGGAGCTCACACATGGCTGCTCCCATATAACGGCCGACTGACAAGTACCCGAGCATTGGTTGCATGAGCCACAAAGGAAGCTGGTGTTGGAAGATTCCCATCCGCCATGTGATCACAGATCTAAATGTAGAGCAGAAAGCTATATAATACCCAGCATGTGTCAATGACTGTGGGTCTTGCACTGATTGATATCTGAATTAGAGCTGCAGCTAACGATTATTTTCCAAATCGATTAGTTAGCCGATTATTAAGTTCGATTAATCGGTTAATCGGATAAACAATAAAATACATTTTTAAAAATGTCTCCAATGATTGACGACTAGTTTGTATAGAGATTGTAGTCCATCACAGGAGCAAGCTTGGAGCGGTGGAAGTAAAACAGAAAAAAAATAGTGTGGTGTGCAATATAGTGAAATGGAAAGTGTAAAATTATACAGCAATGAATGCAGAATGTCACCGGCTATAGAAGACTACTAATCCCAGCAATACATTATACATGACAATGCAGAATACCACCAGCTATAGAGGACTACAACAAATTTCAGCAATAGTACATTATAGCTGGCAGTATTCTGCATTGTGCTGTATAATGTACTGTTGCTGGGTTTTGTAGTCCTCTATACAGCGCAGTGCAGATTATCACCAACTATAGTGGAGTACAACAAATCCCAGTAATAAATTATACATACAGTGTACAATGTATTGCTGGGATTTGTAGTCCTCTATAGCTGATGGTACATTGTGCTGTATATTATACCATCAACTATAGAGGAATACAAATCCCAGCAATAAATTATAGAGCACCATATGGGGGAAAAGTGCAGGCTTACCTGAGCAGTCTTCCAGCAACTTGCTTCTGAGATCGGGCCTGTCTATCGGTGGCTGTCATCCACCCCACACCTGCTCCTCCTTACTACATCTCCCCGCGTCCCTGTGCTGATCGTGTATGTGGGCGGGCGGGGAGTGTGAGGCGGGGAGGAGGTGCGGCGTGTAGAGCGTGGATGCGGGCGGCCCTGGCAGCGGCGAGTGTGAGGTGGGGAAGAGGTGCGACGTGCAGCATGTGGGAAGCCGTGAACAGGGCCAACTGATCGGAAGCCGATTGATCGATTATTGAAAAAGTTGACAACTTTTTCAATAATCGATTATAATCGATTATGTCGATTAGTTGTTGCAGCCCTAATCTGAATGGTAAAGTATCTCCACTCAGGGCCACCAACCGAACATAATTATAATACATTATCAGTACTGCCCAAGAGGGCCCCCCCTTGCCTGCAGTCCAGTCCTCTCCTGTTAAATGAATATTTAACTTTGCATTGCTTAGGAGAGTAAGCTCTGTTGCCCTCTGACAGAGAAAGTAGCCAGCCTTCAATGTTTGTATATAATCCATGCATTTTAGGGTTCCTAGCTTGCTCCCCCATGATAAAAATGGCTGAGAAGGGGAAAGCACAGGAACTGGCATTTCTTTCTTCTTCTAGTTAGTTCATCCATCATCAATCCATCAAAGTTCTTCAATGTGCTCTACTGTTATTGTATGAAGCTATCTCGAAAACATGGCAAGGCTCATACTCATTGGATTATATAGCTGGGTGATCCTGTGTTGACAAGATCATGGAGTTAGTATGTAGAAGCATGTATCATAGACACAATAGTTACCTCTGTGCAGTAGTCATGATGGCATCCACCACCTCAATAATTCTGTGCAGGGCTGAGTCGGTTCCGATTGTCATGTCAGTTCCACAGAAATCATTATCGATGGAGCCCACCATTCCGACAATATTCAGATGGGCATATTCCTGAGAAGCTGAAGCTTCAATTTTTCCTAGGAGAAAACAGAATAAATATATGAAGTATATGGGGTTCTATGGGGCTATTTATAAAGAAGTAAAAAAAAAAAGGACACGGATATACAGAAAAAACTGACCGGGGTCCTAAACCATATGAAAATCCTAACAATAAACTTCTTCTACTTACCCCTTTTTGATCTGTTAAGTATACCAAAAGTGCTTTATTTAGATGAACTGCTGATATAAGACTCGCAAAATTTCATTTCTCCAGCTGTGAACTTTGAGCATTAATTCCTCCACAGTGACTACAGCTACGAATGGCAGTGAGGGCTTGTTTAAATCTCATCTATTGTTTGTTACAAATATGCAAATACATAAATGTCCATAGCCTTATCAAAAATCAATTTGGTAGAAGGTCACTGATGTTGCACAACCAACTTATCATACCTCCTATCCACTGTGGTGTGTAAATAGGTACACTGTAACAAGCCAAAAGCAGATTGAACACTAACATGCAAATAGAATCTAGATAATATGTGACACTGACCAGGCCAGTCCTTGTGCGCTCTTTCCTACTAAAGGCTAAGATCTCTTATAGATAGCCTGTAATTGTCCATTTTATGTGTTTAGATCTACATTGTATCCTCTTGGTGAAATGCCTGTTAATTTGTTAAATTGGTCTAAATCCATTAATTGCAGCCTCTGGTTTACTCACTCCTGTGTAATTTCATGCGGTGATGTGAAAAATGAAATGTTTCAACAACCATAGCTAGCTCTTCCCAGTACTGTTTGTATCAAGGTCCCCAAGGCATGAAAAGATCAATGTTGTATCCAGGCGACTTGGGCAACATCAGGTGACAATCATTATACACAGAAGCAAACACCCCTCACTGACCCTTGTCAGGTGTAGAGATGATATAAATTACATTTATTTATTTTTTCAGCCAATGCTACAAATAAACTTGCACACTCCAATGATCAGTGTACCATCAAATATACGGGGTATTAAATGAAATTGTATATCTATATTGTATTTATTTATTATGAGCAGGAAATAAAATAAATAATATGTAGTGTTTTATCTCGCCAGCAGGCAGACTTCTTGGCTCTTTTTCACATGCTTTCCTATTACTCTTTGCCATGGTGTTATAAAAAGTATGTTGTTTATAGAAATCAATAACTCAAGCTAAAATGTACACATACAGTATAAGGAAATGAATCATAGAAGTGACTGGACACTAATTGGACAGTCATCTGAAAGAGGCTACTCTTTCTGTGCAGTCTGTTTTCTAATCCACAATGCTCTGGGAATCCTTTGTATTATATACAGTAATGCGTTCATTTGCAAATCAAAGGATATACAGTAAACTCTCAGTTATCCGGTATTCAACTAACTAAAACTCTCATCTAGCCAGAAAAAAAAACTGTACTCACTGTTTTGCTGATCTGCGGCATGTATTATCCTGGAAATGATTGTGTCTATTTGTCTTAAGTGTGTCTATTTGTCATAATTTGCTTTTGATAGCTGCATTTCAATATTAATATGAAGTCAATACAGAGTTTATATTATGATATGGTATAGTATGGGGTATGGCATTAGTTAGACCTATTTTTAATAGTAGCTCTCAAGCAACCAGAAACTACATTTATCCGGAAACTACCAATCCCTGTGGATGCTGGATACCAGGGAGTTTACTGTATATATATATA